AGGTTCCCTGCTGAACATAATACTTTGCCATAGCCCATTAAAAACGAACGATCTTATTGATCCACCAATTTGAGGAAGGATTTGCAGCGCAACAAACTTGAACTGTTTATAGGTAAGATTCTTGAGATTGACATGATGACAGAAGTCCATTATTGTCGAATTAAGGCGATAATTAAGATTGAAAAATGAATAGAGAATTTCGCCATCACGAAGATACTGACACACATGTAATATCATTTCATCGGGTAATATTTCGAAAGTTGAAACTTTTTCCATTTCGAGCGATCGAAAGTAGTTACGATTTGTTTGATTTACGAAGAAACTTCCCTTTTAAATCATAGCATACAAGATGATTCATTCAGACGGAAAAAGCCAAATTGTGAAGCACGTGTCTTGAGAGAAAAAAAGCAAAATCTTCCTGTTTTCCTTCGTTACATGTATGCGATGTGAATGGTTGGAAGAGAACCATCATGTTAACAGAGTGTAAGAATGTCGCTGTGGGCATTAATACTCAACACCTACACCCTCGACTACCATCATGCATTTTGAATTTGTATCAAAACTTATCATCAAATTAATCTGACAAACAGGAAGATATGTCAAACAAGCAAAATAAAATTTTAGAATAACTTACTACTGTTGTAGGAGTCTTGTGACTATCAAACGTATAAGTTGACATGACAATATCATTAAAAAACAATTTCAAAGAGCCCAGTGTAGATTCGCGAAGTAAAAAATAAATATGAATTGACTGCTTAAAAATACAGTCTTTCAAGTTTATTATCCCATATACAGATATAGTTACTTATATCCTCATGATGACTGTTTAACGCACAACTTATACATAATTACATAATAACCGAAAAACGATTTGATTTCATTGTTGCTTCTTGTTTTATTTCAAAACCTTTCCCTATTGAATTAGTTTACCTCAAACTCATTCGTTGATTTACAAGTGAAATTAATCGTTACTCTTCTTGATCGATAGCTTCAGGAAATCAAGCAAATAAAGCTGAAGATACAAATCCCATTTCAACTCTCCCTATAAGCTTTGGTGAAAATTTTATCGGATGTTTTTAAATGAACTTATCGATCTTATAAATAACAGATAATAATTTATTTAAAAATGTATTTTTTTTTCTTACTCTAGATAGTATGATATCTTGATCACCAACAAAAGTCTGAATACAATATATACATCAATCTACTGCTAAGAATAACCATTAATCTATCGTACCAAGATCAACTCCATCAATAAAGTGCTAAAACCAAGTATCACGGCACTCTTTGTTCGTGAAGGAAGTTAACCTATGAGAATATATGTCAGCGTCTAATTTTGAATTCAGTTCAATCTAAGATCCGCCTGTGCCAATGTCGGCGCATCAATTTGGACTAGTCTAGTGTCGGATCGTGAAATTTTGTTTCGTTAAAACCTTCATCAATCTTCAGTCCGATGTGCGATTCGAATTCGTTTTTGAATGTGGTCTAGGAACAATGACAATTGAGACGGCTCAATAGTTTATAAGTGCATGAGAGTGAGTTTCATGAGTTTATAAAAATTGTTTCAAAGAACGGCCGCTTCTACAAAAAAATTGATGTAAACATTCCAATGCACCCTCACTGCTCATACCGATAAGTCGGAAGTTTCCAGTACCATCCTACGAACATGTCGGTCAAAAAAGAATTCGAATCGCACGTCGGACTGCAGATTGATGAAGGTTTTAACGAAACACAATTTCAGGATCCTACATTGGACTAGTCCAAATTGATGCTCCGAGATTGGCACAGGCGGATCTTAGATTGAACTGAATTCAAGATTAGACGCTGTCATTTATTTCCATGACTCTTCTGATACATAATAAAATGAACAATGCTTTCAAAATTTTCCCGAAAATTAAGTTAGCGTCGATGTGCATTCTTGTAACAGGAAGCTCTGAATAATTTGAAAACAAAGCTTTCCACATTAGTTGAATAAAATTGACTGAAAATATTCGTGTGGAAAATCGAAACAATTAAAATAAATACAAAGAAAAACTGAAATATGAAAAGTACTCGTCGACGTGTTATAAAATATGTTCTCAATTGTTATCTTATTTCAGTAAGATTCAAACGTTTGATAGACAGTCACAATGTTCATTGAAACCATACGACAATCCATTTGGAATCATATTCAACATAGAATGAATCTTCACCATCTAGATAGCCCTCATCGATCACCCATTGAGAAAGAGTTTTAGAAACATCATCTGTTAGCGAACCTTTGATGTAAAAGCTACGAAGACTTTTATCTTTCCACATTGAAAGTACAGCTAAAATAAGTGAATCGATGAAGACCGTTGACTTTTCTACGTACAGAGAAATATCTCGGACGTTATTAAATTTATGAGCAATGATATCTAATGGAATCGTGTCAATTTCTTGAATATTGGTAATTTTAAGTTGTACAACTCGCTTCTGTAATAATTCACATGTTCCTCTATCGTCGAGTGCCATATTCAAAGAATTTAAATCAATTTTCAGATAGTCTAGATTAGGGGCAGCTTCAACCAGATGAAATATTTCATTTATTCCTGTCACATTGAGGCGTTTTAAGTGAGGCAAATGCAAGACGATCGGTTGAGTTGATTGAGGCGGTACTATATATGACAGAGCAATAATAACCAATCAGCAGTGGAGATGTAACATAGATTGTTCACTCGATAGAAAATCTCTTGGAAGGAAATGAACATCGCAATGGAATATCAAGTTTTAAGAAAAAGAATAGAGATAAAAACACATGCAAGTACGTAGTCTCTTTAGTACGCTTACCGAGACAATTATATAAGAGAAGAATTCAGTCTCTTTACTTTAGTTTTGTGAAAGATGAACGTATTGCAGGGAAACGATGAAAGTGCAAAAAGAGTCTTCATAAATACAATTCGAACCTTGTCAGACATCAATATACAGTAAAAGACTGTATCAATCAGAGATCTGTTGTTCGATTATAGAACTGATTTCAAAATTGAAAGCAGATCGTTAACAACTTTCGATTCAAGTTCTCGCTATTGAAGTTACCACAGACAACTGGTTTTCTTCATTTATTGAGAAAATATTTTCGAAAACGAATGCTCAGATGATTAATCATTTTTTATGTGTACTTCTTCTATCGTTTAGAAATGTTTGAGGCAGTCTTATGAAAACGTCAAGCACAATGTTCTCTTCGAAAAAATTATTTTGTTTGAGAAACAAAAAATATTTCCCTCTTGAAGACAAGGATAAATTCTAAAGTGGAGTTTATTAATGGTTTTTTTTTAAGAATGTATTTCAAGGGGAAAAAGGCGGATTCCGGAATCCCACGAATTCTCGGAATTTTTATAATCACAAATGGCATTCCATAAATTCATATTTAACCTCTACGATCCTCACTCTAGCCTGAAAATCTGATAGAACTCAGTGTCAAGGCTTCACTGCTTTATTACGTGCCTAGAAAAGGTGCACACAACTATTGAGGAAAATCATTTCCTAGGCGAACGTTTTTTATTTCATATGCTTGATCTGTTCAGATATCAAGATTTGCCCATAGCGCATTACTTTCTTGTTCAATAGTCTCAAGAACATCGTGCGTATGGAAGAAAGAATTTCATTAATATCGTGACTAAAAGCATTAGATATAATTCCCCAGGGCAGAATTATAGCCACGGGAAAAATATTCGATCTGAAAAGTGATTGGAACTCCAAACTACGCCTTTTTACATAAATTATTTTCTTATGCGCAGCTCTCTAGATTTATCCACAGCACATGACACTCTTGCTGCAAATGCTCATGTATTTCATGTGCATACCCCAAGATAGTTCACTAGGGTTATCTACTTTAAAATTTTAGGCACTTAACCTAATTAAACTGTTATCAAGTCCATTTTGACAGCACGACAGTTTACTTTCTTATTTTTAAGAGAAAACGTTCGAGGTAGAATAACAAAGAGCAGCAAGCAATAAGATAAATCAATGAGATACAAGAAATCTGTCGAATCAAATGAATCTATGGCATCTTATATGTAACATTTTATTCATTCAGTCATCTGACAGTTGAACATGCTTAAAGCAATCAGGTAGCAGCACAGCCTTTCTGTCTACTAAAAGATAAGAGGCTCTCTATCTATGACTATTGTTTTTGACATTAATTTTGACACAAAAGAAAAATACTTCGAGAGTGCAGGAGAAATCTGCTCGGGGACTCTTATTGTATGAAATTGAGATTTATCGCTAGTTGACACAGAAGACGAATTATAAACTTTGTCTTAGGATCAGCTATATTTCTCTGATTTGAATATAAAAAAGCAACATTAGATTTAAAATACTAGTTTGACTCTTGATCCAATGAGTTGTAATGATTTTCCTTAGATTACTAGATTCGTATAATTGATCTACTTTGTTTTATCACAGATTCTCTTGTTTTCTTCCAAACAAAATTAAAATCAAATCCGAAAAGACGACTATAGACTAGATTATGAACTTGACAGATAGTCTTTTTCAAAATTATCACCAAGGAGAAGATCATGAGATCATTTTGAAGCTGATTGTTTCGAAACCACATTTTTCTTATCTTGTGTGATATTTTTGAAAACTTTAATGAAAAGTTCAACGCACTGAATTTAGATAGGAACAAAACAGATTCTGCATGCACTAGAATGTCTGAACTTCGCCCGAATATTCAAGGTCTTCATTGAGTTCCGCATCTCTATCCTTTTTGTTTTCTAGCTGCCTACCTTTTTCCCGAAGATTCAATTATTGACTCTAAGCTTGCTTTGAATTATGAACGTCGAGGGATATTTATTCTTCCACAGAAGAATAATAGTCCAGTCATCACTAAGTTCAGACAAATTTTTTCATAAGATATGCATCAATACTAGAGACAAAAAAGCTCTTGTTTTATTTTCCTTTGTCCATGAAAGGGCAGTAAAAATCAAAGTAATATGGATCAGAACTAACCCGTTATATTTTCTCATTAATCATGTCTATTTTATTAAACGACCCGGGTAATGAACTAATATAAGCTCATCGATTAGTGTATTGTTCCAATCATTTGGTAAAAAGTCAATAGATTATTTACCCGTTTTTTTTTGATTAATATTCACGGAAAGATCATGATTGATCAGTCTAGGAAGAATAGTGTTGATCGCAGAGCTCCGACTTATTAAGTATTGGATAAAATGAAAAGGCCGCAGGTTCGTTTTCGGAGCTAGTCCCTTAGTTCAATTGCAACTATATATGTTATGTCGAATTTAAAGTTGTAGTCCGATTCATTCTTCTATGAATCAATATGAGCGTTATTGTACAAAATGTTTGAGATCTCTCACCTAATTGAACTGCATAAATAATCATATTAGATGTCACGATTAAGATCACATTATTTTGTTAGAAATCAGTAGCTTCTATACTCCAGAACGTTCAGTTTACGATGTCGATGAGGGCGATGATCTACGTCTTGTTTCCATACCCACGAAACATTCACACCCACATCCTTGTTTTCCATACCACTACGTGGATCTCTTAAAGAAACGGGTTTCAAAATACTAAATGAACGAAGGGATATTTGTTATGCATCAGCATGAGTTATTATTTCAGTGTTGTTCAGACATCTAATCCCGTCAATCTCCCACCCCTTGAGTTGCATCATAGCTGAAAAAGTTCGACATTTTTTCTTAGATTGTATTCTACATACCAATTACTTGCTCCTTCTTTAAATGGCTGCCCAGCAGAAAAAATCACTAAATCACGACCATTTTCGCGATATGCGCAGGCATCTTACTAAATGATCTAAGCATGGTAATCATATAGATCACTTTTTTTATTTATGCAACGTAGATAATACATGCAATTTGTAATATCCATAGGATAAACAAGATTCTTGTCATAAATCAACACGTTACAACTTGTTCTCTTCGGCGATGAGAATTACGAATTTCAGAAGAATTTGTATTATACTTTTTATGGTAGCAAGTCCTTGTTTCACAGCAACTAGCTTATCTGTATAGTTTGTTTCGTAAATTGCTTCGATCGATACTTTTACTAGTCCAGAATAAAAATTATATTTTTTGGATTTCTGGGATTGCTCATGGGATTCCAGGGATTCTCATTAGATTCTTGGGATTTTCGGAATCTTTACGGGATAATTGGGATTTCTGAGATTTTTACGAGATTCAGAAGCCTGAGAATCCGCCTTTTCCCCTTGAGGTATTTTCCAAATATATTCTATAATCATGAAAAAATATCCTGAATTATACGGAGGCGATTTTAAAATTCATTGTCTGATTGTACTATAATTTTGGATGCACCCTATTTACCGGATACAATCCGCTATTCATTTCACAATTCTAAGTTTTAAATTCTTCAGCTTTCGGACGATAGGAAATAAGCGATTCTTACATCTTCAGCTTTTTTTTAAATGTATTGTAGTATGATTAGCAAGCAGCCGATATCTTGATTAGGAACACTGTTAATACCAACTGAATATAATATATTTCGAACTTGGAATGGTACAGTACAAGAAAACTAAGTCAGAATCGCTTCAGACACGAAAATAATTGCTTTCAGATACCTTTTGAGTTCTATGTAGAGAAGTTCAAGTCAATCCCACGATTTCACTAAAGCGATACTGTGGCATATACACTATTGATATAATAGAAATCTAATCTGAACTTTATTCGAAAAGACTGTTCAAGAGAGATCTTTATTCCATAATTAAAGTTTAAAATATGTTTGTTTCATAATGATGAGAGCTGGGAAAATAAGTTTAGTTCACGGTGTACATCCTGCGTTTTCATTAATTTCAGCCTAATTATAGAGTACCTTGATTTACTATCTGAAATAGCTTAATAAATCATGGCTGAGCTAAAGATTGGCATTTCTATTCTTTAAATACAGTAGTGCTTCAAGTGTAATGTTTTGTCCACGAATATAGAAGATAGTAAATTACATTTATTATAGAGAATATCGTGCGCGGGGAAGCTTTTTCTACTCGGAAAAGTAAATTTTGGAAGAAAAATATAACCTGAGTTGATTCTGTTATTTCTCTCGGAAAAGTTATCAGAATGTATGACGCTCTCCTCATCTAAATATTCGAAAGAAAATAATTTTCTACCAACGAACAGCCTACTTGCATGTGAATTGTATGCAGAGCCAATGGTGAGTGTTCGCAGTTGATGAAAATGCTGCAATATTAGATGGATATCGTCTAAACATTGTTCACCGCAAATTTTTAAGTAGTGAACC